ATCTGTCAGCCATCTTCCTCCGCAATCTCGCCATCGAACTCCTCCTCCACCTTCAGCCCTCCTCCGTCGAGCTCCTCCTCTGTCCGCCGACGATGACGCCACGCCGCCAGGACACAGATTTTGGCAGCGTTATAAATTGTTCGCCAAGGTGCAGATGTGATGCCCAGGAGCCAGCTTAATGACGTTTTGGATGCTGAACTAGGTCCTGATTGGTCGTCTAAGTTAAGGAGTTTTGATTATGAGCCTCTCGCTGCAGCAATTATTGGCCAGGTATTTTGATTTTCCTGCTACTAAAACTCTTAATAGTCTTTATTGGTCTGTCTGCTGCAAATTGTAACTTGACTTGCACTGATGGTACTACTAGATTCATAAATGCTATCCGTATATATATGAAAGATTGTTGGGGCAACATGGTTGATTTCAAGTTCTTAAACTAAAATATTGTTTAAGATGATGGTCTCAATGTACATTAACATGATACCATGTAAAAAACACTTCATTAATAAAATTTTGGATCTGGTTAACGAATGAAGGAAGCCTTTGCTTGTAATCTTTTCATTACCATTACAATTCGAAGGACAACCTAGTGACTTAATGAACCAATTTTGGATCTGGTTAACAAATGCAGGAAGCCTTTGGTAGCATATAATGTGATGCTGGCTGAGTATGTTTGATGGGGGGAGATTGGCATTTCTCACTATCATTGGAGTTGATCCCATACTCCATGCTATTGAAGATATAAATACAATTATACTGATATGTAAAATAGGCGTTTCTATGAAGAAATTTTGTTTGGTTGTTTTCCTTTCAAAACTCGAAAGAATTTGATAGTATATTTGAATGTCAATCAAAGAAACTATAAATTTAATAGTGCTTCCAACTCATGAGATTTTGTGCATTACTGACTGTTATTGTTATATATAGAAAATGATGAACATAAATCATGGGTGAATCGGCGTTCTCACAACCTATATAATTGTACCCATGAATGCCTAGTGATATTGTAAACAGGATTGTATTGTAGAATCAAACAATGAAAGCCTAGTAGATAATGATATTGTTTATGAGTGAAATATATGATTTATTTTGTTAACTACTTTATATGTCTAATTCTTAATTGGTGTCAAGGTTGTAGTATGTTGTGATTTTTGTAGATAACAAGTCTATGTATTAACTGTTACTGATTTCTTGCTGCAGAGAAAAAGATTGATGAGCTACATAATCGTTCTGGACCTTGCATCTCCTGTGTTGTTGATTTATGGTGATTTTTGTAATGTGATCAAATGCCATCTTCTTGCAACACGAGAAAAGTATCTCTGTGGATTTTGTTGAGCATTTATGTAATCTTCTTCAGATGTAATATTTTGTGATGTTTCCAACTGCTATAATCCACTTCATGCGTTGTATAAGACTATAGTTTGATGTGGGGATTTTGTTGAGCAGTGGTCTTCTGTATATACAAGTTGTGTGAATCTTATGATATAAGCCTAAATGTTGGCTTTCTTGATCCGTAGTTGAAAATTAAGTGTTCGAAGAATTGTGTGAATCTCTTTGAAGTATGCAATGCATCCTAGTTTTTTTAAATGGGATGTTGCTAAATGGAATGGTTATGCATCCCCGTACCTAAAGGTTGTATATCTGTAATCAATAGAAACAATATCAGTCTCTCCTCAACTACACAAATTCCAAAGGGATAAGAGTGCTAGTAGAAATTTACGCCTCTAAGAAGCAGCAAACTTCTTTCAAGATAAAATTTTTTTGCAGCTGTAAGCCAAATGTTTTTAACGTTCAGCACTGTCAAAACTTCCTGAGAGCATTTATCCAAACAAATTCAGGGTAACAAGTCTTTGACAAATACAAGAAGTACAAACACAAGAATGCTCAGCCTGCTAATTTAAGCATCCAGTATATAGTTTGATTTTCCCTTTCCCTTCCAATTAAAGCAAACCAAAATTAAATAACCTGCCAGGACCCCATTTCTGAATAAATACCAGTCTTCCACATGTCCAATGCTCAGCCTGCTAATCTAAACACAATACCGGGTGTCTAGATGTCTTCGATCACGTGGTATGCTCGTGTTTAGTGAAGTTGTGACTTGATCGTTTGTAGTATCATTGTCCATCCAGATTTCTAGTCTCTTTCCATCGTTCATCTTCGTACATCTCGTCTCTGTAAATCTCAAAATCCTGGTAGTTGTGACTTGATCGTCTGTCTTCTAATATAGCTTCAGGCAAATGGGCAGCAGGCGGAAAATGTAAAATCTAGGACAAAACACTACAGAGGATAAAGAATCGAAACATGACCACCATCAACCCTCTCAGCGACAACTCCAAGGACCTCATCCATGAGTTCGTCCTCAGTAACAATATCCTCAACGTCCTCCTCTTCATCGTTGCTTCCTGGGATTCTACGAGGCTTGGGACCGTGCTCAAGCCTGTGAGTCTCCACCTCCTTGTCCATTGTCTCTTGTAGATTAACATTATTGTTGATTGATCTTTGTCTGTTCCTCAAAGATCTTGGAGGAGGAGCTCGATGGTGAGATCACGTTGGAGTTGTCGCTGAAGGCGGAGGAGGAGCTCGACGCTGAGATTACGGAGGAGGAGGGCTGACGGAGGGCGGGCTGGTGGTGATTTGGTGTCGTGGCGGCGTGGCGTCATCGTTGGAGGACAGAGGAGGAGCTCAACGGAGGAGGGCTGAAGGCGGAGGAGGAGTTCGATGGCGAGATTGCGGAGGAGGAGGGCTGACGGATCACGGGCTGGCGGCATCGGTGTCATGGGGGCGTGGCATCGTCGGTGGCGGACGGAGGGCGGGCTGGCAGTGTCGGTGTCGTAGTGATGATTTGGGCTGAAATCGTAGGAAGGGGGAGAGGGATTAAGGAATTTGGGGGAAAATTGAGTTGAATTTTTGGGGAGAGAGAGAACGGAGGAAAGTGCGTACGCATCAGTGCGTATGAGAAACGCACTGATATATATGCCCGCAAATTCCTTAAGAGTGGCGGTGTCCGGTTCTGGTACGCATAAATGCGTACGTATTTATGCCCGCAAAAGCCCAAAATTTTTTGAGAAAGGCGTATATGCAAAAGAGCCCATAAATAAAACCTATCCCCTTCTCTCTCATCTCTGGTGTCTCTCTCATCCACATTCAGCCATGACCCCTTAATCGTTGATGGACCTGGTGGGCTTCGGCATAGCGGTGGGCTGCGCCGCTCTCTCCCTCACGATTGCCGGGATCCTGGTGACCAAACGAGTCAAGAATCGCCGGAAATGGTCGAGGATCCTCGAGATTCTCGCGGAGTTCGAGGGGGGATGCTCGACGTCGACGGCGAGGCTGAGGCAGGTGGTGGGCGCGATGACCGTCGAGATGCACACAGGCCTCGCCTCCGACGGCGGAAGCAAGCTCGGCATGCTTTGCTTTGTGTGTGAAGATTGGTAGAGATTTGGTTAGGCTGCTGCAAGATTTGGTTTTTATCCCGGAATTTAGATAAATTTGGAAAGATTTGTTGTTTGATCCTAGTAAATTTTAGGTACCGGGCTTTACAGATATTTCACAGTTGTATTGTGTGAGGACTTCAAGTCAGTATTTTTTGCTGAGAATTAGTCCTGAAATGGAGACCCACTTGAGATTTTTGCTTACTCGTGTGAAATGGGGGAATTAGAAGAGATATCAAGCTTGGTTTGCTAAGAAACACTTGAGTTTGCCCAGTAGTGAAACTGTTATTATTGACATTGTTCGGTTTATATGTTGTGCTCATCATCCTTCGAATGAGATTATTCATTCAGATGTTATATCAAGATGGGCAGTCATTGGTTGGCTTCTGACTTGTTGTGGAAGAACTATTTTCTGGCAAATGTGAAGCTTGCTTTGTTCAATGATTGGTTGTTCTTTGATGAGAAGGTGGATAATATTATGAATATAGAGCCTGCAATGCTCTTGATGGTGAATTCTTTGCCACAATATGTTGATATCACTCACACCCTTTTGGAGTTTTTGTTTCTGTTGGTGGATAATTATGATGTTCATCGAAAGGAAATGATTGTTTGGGGAGCAGCGACATCATTTGGAATACTTGTGAGGAAAGGAGTGATTCGATCTTTGGAGCCTCTTATTTCTTGTAGTTTGCTTTCACCATTGCTCAGAGAGAGGCTCAGCACTTTTGTTTCTACTTCGAACCTTAAGAGTTGTTATGAAGGGTTCATCTGATTTTTGCAGTAGGGCCCCACCAAAAGCTAGCCTACGCTGATTGAGACCTCGCGTCGGGCCCGCTTTCTCAAAAAATTTTGGGCTTTTGCGGACATAAATGCGTACGCATTTATGCGTACCAGAACCGGACTCTTTTGTGATCCGCTCCGTTGAACTTGATCTACACGTTCTTAAACCCAAACATACTAATTTTGGGGTGAACCCGTCATGTTTTGACCCTTCGTTGAGCCGTGCAAAAAGTTCTATTCATTCGAAACCGTTAAATTTGTGGTGAGTGGATAAAGGGTCAAAACACGACGGGTTCACCCTAAAAATGGTATGTTTGGATTTAAGAACGTGTAGATCAAGTTCAATGGAGCGGATCGTAAAAAAAAGGAAATTATGTGATTTTAGACCGCGTCCTTAGGTGGGAATCTAAGGTGTCACCTTAGGAAAACATTTCATATATATATATATATATA